AAGATAAGAATAATGAGGAGAATGACTATCTGAAGCCTACGTTTAATGGATGTGCGGAACATATCCCACAAACTGGACATGAGATCCATAGGAGGGCATCAGAAAAAGGGGTCTCATACGGTGAAAACACAAGGAAGCGGTAGATTAGTGAGGCCAGTGACATCTTTGGGGAGAAAATCTAATGAACAGGAGATTGGAGGAAGGGAGAGTTAGCGATAAATTTGCCCACTGCTTAAGCAAACTCGAGCAAAACAAGAATACACAAGGCCTGCAAATAGGTGACGCTTGGATAAAGTATCTTTCACTACTTGGAGGTAAAGGGATCCCGATGAGAAAAGGGGGGCGGAGGTCTTCGGAAATCATGCGAAGACGTTGTCAGTGCCTGATGCCCGTTTCGAATAAACCAGCACAACATTGAGGGCATGGCAATCAGGGAGCTAGGTAGACAGATGAGCAAACCGTCATAAAAATACAGCTTTATTGCCAAAATGTAGTATAAATCCACTTGAGATGCTGCATGTAACCAGAGATAGGCGTCCACAGTTTGCTCAGGCTTTAATCAAGTAGACGGCCCTTGAAAGCAATGCCTGATATTTGCAAGCATGGAAATCAGAGCTTAGGCTCTCTGGTCGGTGAAGTGGCAGTGAACATGCTTCTAGGGCCTTGAGAAATAGCGCCTGGAGTGAAACGCACACTGGGACTGGAGCCGATTGAAATCCGTCAACCAAAAAGATAAGAAAAGGATATTCGAGACCATGAGAGAGATGCGAAAAGGAGGTCCGAGTCGGATTAATCGATCAAAAGAGATGGGATAAAGGTGAATAGCAGGTGCGATGAGGCCACACTAGATTTTCCACCAAAGCGCACACATTTTGGCGAATGGAATATAAACAAGTGAGAATTTATGATAGGGCACGACTTGGATAGGAGGGTAAAGATTTGATAGATGGACCAGGACAGAAGGAGGAGTGATAGTGTAACCGTTTTCGGCAGACCGTTTGTCGGGGAACTGACTTCACTTCTCTGTTTGACAAGTTCGTAGCTTGGTGTGGAGAATGGCAGCACTCACTGATGATGCTGAGTACGATGCCGGTGAATCGTCTGAGAATCTACCAAGTCCTCTGTCGCATGCTGGGAACTATGATAATTACTATGTTAGAGGACTTCGGACAAGGTGCGTTCTACTAAATCGCACTGGACAACACGACCAAGTTGCGACAATGGGCTCATCCCATTTCTATTCATCGAATGGAGACTGCGACCATACTGGTTGTCATAATTTTGGTCTTTATATCGGTAATTTATCCCGATAATATTCCTGTTCCTCCGAAATTATTGATTTAGTCGTTGCTCGGATCCTGTCAAATGAATTTGGGGAAGATATTGGAAGTGTTTCAAACCAATTCCTCCGCAAAATACGTGACTTAGTATTAAGCCAATGGTTAGACTACTTTTTGGAAGGCGATCAACTGGGAAACTAATTGTCAAACAAGTCTAGCTCTACTATTTCTCTTACAGCACAGGTGAAAAAAAATTGTGTCAGTTCTCGGAATCGATGCGTGTCAATTTAACATAAACATTCAGGATAATGTCGAATACAACTCTTCTCTGTAACAGTAGGTATGTAATGCTTCACTTACGAAGCTCCTTCTCACGAATTAATGCCATGCCCGAATCCCTGTGGATGAGTTTCACTTACTATTTAAACTCACACTACCAGTCTAGCCATCCAGTAACCCTACGACACGTTTAGGGTGATCTAGCTGAGAATTGTTTAAGTAGGTTTGAGGTCTGCTGATTATAACATCCGTTAGTATTTCGTAAGAGACTGTCATTTAATATTCTTAGGACAGCACCATGGCTTAAAGTAGCATTGAATTAAAGTTGCTATTTGACTGTCTCGAGCTGAGTCCTATGCCTACGACATAATTTTGTATACCTCATTTTACCTTCTTATGCTAGACCATTTGATTACTGGAGAAGTCCTGCCATCGCTTTCTCACTATTCCCATATCTTTTAGTGTGTGTGTGGAAAGAGTTATGATATTTCTGAGGCAAAACTGTATGCCTTATAAATGGTAAAGCTACGCTATACTGACTCGGGTACCAGTAAGTCACAAGGCAGAAGTAACGTTTAAGGCAATTCAGACCTCACAGTATCGAATTCTATGGTGGGAGTGTTGGTAAAGCAAATTTATATTTTTCATTACGGTCGCAAGCATTACTTATATTTGTAATGACAGGCTTTGAAGACCATTCAACTTCTATCGATAGTCCCGAAGGCTGCCGACTGTAATGGCAAATATAAGTTTGATTCGTCGATACTACCAATGTAAAATGTGAAATAGAAGGCACCTGGCTAACCCTGAAACTCACTTCTGTTCTGTCACCTAATGGCACCCGTGGCAGTATGATATGTCGAAAATAAAACCTGCAATACTAGGCTTCGATTCTTGTTGGTTGAGTTGATTGTCCCAGGCAAGGTCAAAACGGCAGTACAGCCTGGATGAGACTATCTTCTTGAAGGCAAGATTATCTGAAATTTACTGGCCTCCTCTTATTGTTGTGTGAGAATGCACTTCACCACTAACTGGCATAGAGTGATTAGTATTCTATCCATAATCTACTGCTAGTCGCCAAAGCTTAATCATGGTTAAGGAGTTTTATGAGTCTAGCTTTTACAACACTGATATCTTAAAAATCTTAGTCTCATATATCATCTCTTTCCAACCGTTATGAAGAATTTTATACTTGGAATAGACGGAGCTGCCAAAGGCTTTTAAGAATTCATTCCATTTGTATAATAATAAAGTATTCTGACAATTGTAAGAGACATTGACCCATTCGAGAGTTATAGGGAAAGTAATATTTTAGAGGCGGAATTTCAAATATTTAAATGTATACATGTTTGGGCTACTGAGTCTTTAAATGTGTATTTACAATTATAATAAGATAATGCTTTACGTGGTGTTACTATCATTGTTTTATACCAGATCTGGCCTCCGGTTCCCTCCACATGCTTAGTGGTGATCTGATTACCCTTTGTTCTCGCCCAATTGATGGTCCAGCTATACCAATTCAATCTTCTTTATATGAGAGCAGCATGTCAATTTCCTGTTCTGGCCAAAAATTTAGCCGCACAAATATGGATAAACCACCCCAGGAACGTCAGCATCTAGATACAAACCTAAATGAATCTATTGACTATCCTATAAATATATATGATGAACATACTAAAAATGATCTCAGCAGCTCTGGGTCATCCTTTACTCGTCTTGTCATCCCATCTTCTTCTTCTAGGAGCTTTGTCTTTTCTAATAATGACTCCAAGCCTGGCTCTTTTCAAACAATTAATGGTAAGATAAAAGGCATGTTTGCACCAAATCTTTAGGATTAATAGCCATTCTTACTATGATTGTATGTTATGTGTTGAGAATTGTGTCCTATTAATGCTATTTCAATGAATACATACAGGAGAGATGGACTACAAAGTAAGGACTTCTGGAAAAATTCTAAAAGAAGACGCAGAGGATGAGGATGATGCTTCTATGTGCTTTGGTCAAAATCAGCGCACCGGGGAAATTGGAGAATTCCCCGCCAATCTAGTTTATGTAATTCCTTCGCTGGAGAGGCCTACAACGAATCTTCTTAAGCTGTTTAAAAGCCGGTATATAATATCTTATTTTCTCAATATTTATATAATAGCGGATATGTAACATATTGTTTGTTCAGTAACTGTGGAATTAGGGGAGCTTACATTCTTCGTCAAAATTTAACTTAAAATTGTATCGCAGAGAAGCGCATCAGGATAAGTTTTAAAGGCAAATTATTATAAATTAATACTTACAGCAAACGAATTACGTCATCATTATTCACCATAAATATAAATTTAAAACTGCAACAAACTCGAAAAAAGTTTCTCATTATGTGTATGAGCCCAACAGAATGCAAAAGCGGATGTTTTTGCATTTATATAAGACACTTGTTAGTCTAATATTAAAACAGACAAAAATACGAAATTACATTAAATTTAGGAATGGTTGCATCATAATTTTTAGTTCGTAAAAGAAATCCTACCCACCATATCTGTTCCATAATAAAACGATTACTCCTTCATCAAATATACTAATTTTCATATAAATCAAGTCAAGAAGAAAATAAACTTAGCACTCCTAAAAGCGCTTAATGTAGTTAGAAGAAGTCATACTGGAATTTAAATAAGGTTTGATATAAATTTCCTTTAAGTTCCTTGATTATTCTAAATTAATATAATCATTTATACTAAAATATGAAGACCAGGATAATGTGGCTTTTTGAATGGTCGCCGTCTTCTTTTGTTGTATAGAAATTTGTTGAACTTGTTTTCGCAACTTGGTCATATTAGGAGGAAGACCTAGAGGAACGCACATTCTCCGGAGTCCATAGTATGCATGATAATTTCCAGAATCGGATCGTGGATGTGGTACAATCCCAGAAGTTTCGTTAGCATCGTAGTCGGCATCGTCAGATAGCCGTGCCATTCTTAGAACCACACTACAACTCACCAAAGAGACAAGTGAAATCGATCGTTTCAACAATTGTCTACTAAACAGTTGTGGTATCTCTTCTTCTGTCCTGAGCTTGTCACCTATCCTATATCCTCGTATCACACCTTCAATACCACTATTTCATTCTTGTTTATCTAAACCTACTAGAAACCTATCTACACTCCCCGCTGGTTTCCGCATTCCTCCCATTTTGCAAGGAGTGTTGATCCAAGGCTGCGGTTTAATCGGCAATCCTCTCCCTTCCGGTCATATCAGAGTCCCCTCTTGCTCCGAATGATCCTTCCCTATCCTGTCTGTTTCAGTGAATTCACGCCATTGCTGCCACCGTATCCGTTATGTTCTACACTCTGTCTCAATCCTTTGCTAGCACGTATACACCAGCCTCATTAAGCAAGCCCCTAAGGTCTGGATTCTCACATGCGTGAATAATCCTCAATTGTTCGGCCACATGACAACTACAGACTAAAGATAGGAATAATGAGGAGAATGATCGTCAGTAGCTTAAGACGAACAGACACTGGGTTCTGGAACGAGGAGTTGGAGACGCTGACTCGGATTTGCCTTAGTAACGGGTACCCCAGAGAATCTATATAAAGAAATAGAGGTCATAAAGAGCAGACTTCAACTAGTATTTTAGGAAAAAAAGATCATAAATCGGGAGGACAACACAAAGTGGATATGCCTGCCCTCCTGTGAATTGAGCCAAAGATTTCGACCGTTAATAAGAAAATCGAATATCAAGGTGATGGCAAATGAGAAGACAACACTCTACACAAGCCTGCCGATGCAACATTAGGAGGTTGATAAACTTGAGCACTCGGGAGTCTATAGCATCAAATGCGGCAACTGTCAGCAGAAGTATATTGGTGAAACAGGAGGAAAAATCAGCCTACGAATAAATGAATACCAGAGACTCCGCTGAAACCTTGACACTGAACTATTCGAAATAACGAAACAAATCGCACGGACTGGAAATGAAATCGAGTGGAAATAGACAGAAGGGTTGGTTGCATATAATGGAAATACATGAAAACGCATGATGCAAAAAACCTTCGATGTTCTGACTGAAATAAACCGAATGAACAGGGGATATGAATAAGGGAGGATTAGCGAAACTTTATATACTAGCTAGGAATATCAGGAAACAGCAATATCAGCAAAAAGAAGACGACTAGATAAAGGTAATAATTCTATTTCAAGAAAAGAAATTACAAGGAGACCAGAGTAGGACAACCGGAAATGAAAAAAAGGCGTCTACATAGAGCATATTCAAATCAAGTATAACCATCACATGGGGCACGCAGTAGAAAGTAATAGATCATCACTATTATTATTGCTATATTTATTAATATTATTATTATGTTAGTATTCAATTGTGAGTCAGCTAAAAAAACTTTTTCGTTAAGAGCCTCAAACAATTTTCATTGGAGTGTTGTCTGGATTTGCTCATGCTTTGGCTCAAGCCTTCCGACTTTTCGAATGTGTCAACATAAACATTCGATTATTTTGGAGCTCACAACTTTTGATTTAGCCTTTAATTTCAATATGGGAAGACTAAATTAAATAATTTGGCTAAAAAGATTTTTTTTTGTAAGGACTTAACTCATAATCTGACTATTTCAGTATATATGCTAACCTTGGGTGGACTGGATCGTGGGGCAAAATCTGCTGAAAGGAAAAACTACTAGAAAGAAGAAACTAATGGTTGTACATTTTATTCGTAACTTAAACTTTGGTTAGGTAGGCTTTTGTAGGCATACTTTTATCCTTTACGATATGGATACAGGTCCATGCTATTTACATTCCATTATCGTATTGTAAGATCATGCCTTTAACTCTTCATAATTTGCACATAAAGTAAACTTATCACATAAATTCGCTTGGATCAGCACCTTAGAATGACTTTCTTTGTTAATGAATGGAGTGTTGTATACTTTAATTCCTTTTTATCCAAAGGACGACTTTTATTCAGGGAATAGTTTAGCCGTATAGGAAATATTTTTACTTCTTATCCTATGATTATGCTGCTTTCTCATTTGTTTATTTTAATGGTTTTCTATGCTGATAAACAATGGACCATATAGAAAATAAATGACGCCGATTTTATTAAAAATTCTGGGGCTTAGCAATTTCACATAAAATTTGTCTCAATTAATGTGTATACTATTTTTATTTTAACTTAGACAGTTTTGCCAGCCTTACCCTTCCATATAGGTACGTAGTTTGTATAAATTTGTATACACTTAAATTATAAAGCTAACTAGGCGAGTCTTTTTATAATTGATTGAAAAACACTAAAAATTATCTTTCGTTTATAAGGGGGGCTTGAGACAATATCTCATATAATCAAAATTTGTATTTAGTTGAAGCAACATTCAGAAAATTTATGTCTCCCAAATAAAGATGCACAATTATCCGCTGATTATTTTAGGTACTATTTATCCTAGACTGTCCTGCCATTTTCCCTTTAT